TTCCTGCTGCGTATCCTGGCTAGGTCCTCTCCTACTATATTTCCCCTGAGGGTAAACTCAAATCCTCCCTACTGGCTTCAAGTCTGTAATGTTGCTGGGGGCAGGGGGGAGTACTTTTTCCCTTTTCCTATTATTTCTTCCTATGTGTCTGGTCCTTCCATTAGTGTCAAACTCCTGGCCTCTCTCCAACCAGTTATTTATTCTTGAGGAGGACTCATTTTCTGATAGGAGTTTTGGGACCAGGAAACCAGCATGGTTTTCTCTCTCTTTGGGAGCCAGCTACTTGCACGGAGCATGGGTTCTCACTTTGTCTTATTCATATGGTAAGCTTAGTGGCAAAGGCTGACTCTGCCTGTGAGAAGGAGGCCGTCGGGTGGCTAGTGCTGCTTATGACTGAGTGGGTATGTCTAATTCTGGGGTGTGTATTTGGCAAGAACTGAACCACACACTCTAGCACAACATTTGTTGCTAATAAAGCTGATATGTTTTTTCTCTATCTGCCTGATGTCTGTATCTCTCTCTGAATTGGCCCTCAAAGTCAAGTAAGAAACAAGATTGTCATTTACTAGGCAAATTAAAACTTCAACATTTAATCCTACTCCTTCCCCACCATCCAAGCAACTCTTCCTCCTATTAATTTATAAGATCAAGACATTCAGATGGGATCTTCTCCAAACCTCCCACATCACCAGATGTTTGTCTTTCTCCGACTTTCTGTACATCAGAGGAATCTCCCACCTCCTTTCTAAGACTGATCTCTCTTTCAGGTCCTCTTCAGTTCCTATCTCATTTCTCTCCTTCTTGTCTTTCTTGTAAGGGTCTCTATCACTAGCGTCTTCTCTTCCTGGTCATTTGGGCAGAGGATGCCAAATAAGAAGATCTCAAGGCCCTGAATTGCTGATTTCCTATCAACCCCAGAGGAAACTCAAGACCTTAACCCAGATCCACAAATATGATAAGAAACCTCTTAACCCAGAAGGTTTTGGGGGAATCCAAATGTGATATTATCGGTTTGGCTAGTCTAAGACCCACAGATCCCCTTAAGTACAGGACCAACTACATTTAAAATGTATAATTCATGAGTTATACCCACATACTTTGAAATATCAGACATATAAAATAAAATTTATGTAAATAGATAGAATATATGAAAGAGTAAAGAGGAGAAAATCAGGAGGCAATGTACATCACATATTCCAAAAACCTACAGCAGTATGCTTGTTCTAATTAAATATTATTTGGTGCTAAGCTTTCTTGAAGCTGTGGAAAAAAGGAAAACACACTGGATTACATAATTCTCATTGTTTGAGAAAAGGAAGTTGAATCTCTGACAAAGTTTTCTCAGAAAAGATTCTGTCCAACTCAATTGCTCTTGAACCTGTGAACCTGTGATAAGGGATGCCAACCCACAAAAGGAACGATGTGTTCAACAGAGGCGTGGCAAGAGACACAGAAATGACCTTCAAGCTCCAATTGATAAGGATGTATGTTACCAGTTATTAACCTGGTATGGTGAGAATAGAATATTTAGGTTGACAAGTTCTACCTTGGTTGTGCTGGCAGAAGTTATTTATAGAATATTCTTCTCCCACCCGCCATCTTAGTGATCTGATACTGTCCCTTTGAGCAGAGACAACACATGCCAATGTCGACACTAGTTTTGGTGTTGCTGCTATTAAGGATTCTTCCTGACAATTATGGGTAGCAGAATCTTTTGCATATTGAGATTGTTCCTGGTTCCTAGTAGTAAAACCAAATTTTCGAACCTAGAGGGAGCGTAGTTGATCTCCTATTTGATATTCCTGGAGGGAACTCATTGAGGATAGGATAGAAATTTGCATTCAAATCAGGAGATGAACTTTTAAATCATCCATTCATCCAAAATATCAGCTCCTGCTATGTGGAGATGTGTAGTCTCTGGAAATACCATGGTGAACAAAATTCGAACATGGTCCCTGCCTTTGTGGAGCTTAGAGTCCAAGGGCCCTGACCTAGTCTAAGGTGTGAAGTGGTCAGGGAAGTTTTCCATAAGCAGTTGGCATTTGAGCAGAGATCCAAAGGATGAGCAGGCAGTGGGAACAGGATGTGCAAAGCCCCTGTGGCAGGAAGAAAGTGGTGCCTTTGAGGAAATGAAAGAAGGCCAGCAAGACTGGAGTACTGAGCATGAGGGGAGGACAGTCTAGGGTGAGGCTGGACAGACAGCACGGCCTTGAAGGCCTGGGAGCAGTGGCAGCCACTGAAGGGCTTTTAAAGAGAGGTAGTGGTGAGGGATGCAGGACCTGGTTAGAGTCTATCCAGTGCAAAGTGTTAACTGAAAACTGAATCATATTGTAACTCTCTTATTGAGGGACTAAAGGTTGGATCTTACAAAATGCTGAAATTATATGATAAAAGTAAATGGTAAATTGTTAGGATTTTGTATGTAACTTTCCAAGCTTTAGGGGAAAGCCATGAATTTTGTTTCTGCACATAAGCCCTCAAACCACCCTGCCAGGAGGAGCACAACAAATGTGTAAACATGTGTGAACACATTTGTAAGACTGAGTCATGAAATCGCTGGCCCAGGTTTTGAAAGGCACCCAGACCACAGAGAGGCCAGGACAGGACTGCTGCCGAGTGCCTTTCACAGACGCCCACCCCTAACAGCCCCTGCAGTCTGAATGGTGCTGGTGATGCCACCACTGAGAGAAGAACAGGAAAATCATTAAATGGCATATGGTGATGCAGAAAATAAAAACAATCAAATGTACAAAGAAGACAAAACATGGCAGGAACGTCAGAGTATTGAAAAATTTGATTTTAAAAGCAATCACTGGTATTAGAGGGCCGGCCCCGTGGCTGAGTGGTTAAGTTCATGTTCTCCTCTTTGACGGCCCAGGGTTTTGCTGGTTCAAATCCTGGGCACGGACATGGCACTGCTCATCAAGCCAGGCTGAGGTGGCATCCCACATGCCACAACTAGAAGCACCGGCAACTAAAATATACAACTATGTACTGGGGAGATTTGGGGAGAAAAAGCAGAAAAAAAAAAAAGATTGGCAACAGTTGGTACCTCAGGTGCCAATCCTTATAAAAAAAAAATCACTGGTATCAAAAGTTAGGTTAAAAATAACTAATTTTATTTTGAGTCTTCCACTTTCTTCTTTGCTCCTCAGCTGTCCTGGTTAAGAGTGAAGGAAAGCTACCTTCTCCCCAAACCTCCTCCCCAAACCTCCTCCCCATTTTGTCTCTGCCATTAACCTGTGATTCAGCCAAGAAAGGGTCAACAGAGGGGCCTGGAGGGGCTCCCATCACTGTGGAGATCTCAGCCAAGGGAAACGGGAAGTAGCATGTTTTTACTGCCCAGTACAATTTCATTCCTATTACGTGTGCACACAGCCCCAAGAGGAAAATGCAATTTGGTAGTGACCTGATAACCACATTCTTGGAGGCTTGGCCCAAGAATGGCAAAAATCCAAACAATGCTGGGGGAAGGGGGAAGGGAAAGAGGCAGAGGGAAACAAAACACAATTTCCATTGTAAATTACTGGCTGTGATTAAATTCAAGTTAATGTCTAACCAGAAAGTGGAAATTTTAGATTATCAAAATGGGGGTCCCTTATCTTTCTCGTGAAGAAATAATTTTTATATCTTGAAAGCTTAGTAATTCCTATTAAAACAGCAAAGAAGTGTTTCAAAGTTTTATTGAAAATGTACTTTATTAAGCCAAAAGTTGGTGCAGATAACCCTTGAATTTGACTGGCTGGATTACAAGGTGGCTAGATCTAGGAGGGGAGAGGGGCCAGAGACCTCGTCCCTCCTGTGGGCTGAGGCAGAATCACCGGCCTGAACATACGCCAGGGTGACTTCACGGTGTATCATGAATTCTGGTGTAACTGTTGGGCCCCTGATTGGGAATTGTGTGCTGAGATATTTTTTTCAAGTCCTACCATGTTATTACATTTATCAATATACACACATATCTGCATCAGGAAACTCTAATTCTGAGTTCTCAAGGATAGAATGATGAACTAGAATCCTCTTAGGCATGCCTCCTCCATACTCATCCTTCTACCTGCATTGTGGGTTAAACTCTTTGCAACAATGTTTTATCAATTATCACAATCTTTAACAAGCTTAAGTTGCTTTTATTAAGTGATAGAAGTTCTCAAAAAGTATATGATTAAAAAGATGTAGATAGTGCAGGTTTATTATTCACATCTACCCTTTGCTGGTCGCTCTTTCCCAGCTGCAGGAAGAGCAATACTACAAAGTCTGGAAAATGTCGCTCTTTCTGTCTCTCCGGGACCTGCCTTCATTTGCTGATTCACGCACACATGTGTTCATTCATTTCACATTTATTAAGCACTACCATATGGGTGATGCTGATTTTGCTGGGTACCTGAGACGTAAAAGTGTCTGAAATACAGACCCTGCCTTAGTTTAGAGGTTTCCACCCTCACGGGGGACAGATGGCTTTGCCCCTCCTGTAGTTCCTGGTCTCATGGGAGCACAGAGGAGGGAGTCTTTACCTCTGCTCTGTGAGGCTGGGAACAGTGTTGGGAAGGAGCACCAAGAGCACCAGGTAGGATAAAGGGGTCAGTCCCGAGGGGAAGACCACCCTCGCAAAGGCAACATGTCAAGAGCAGGGAGAAAGATGACTTCCTCAGCCATTACACAGCTCTACAGCTGATTGTTGTCTCCATTAATGCAGGGTATTGTAGTAAACGCTCCCACTTGGGGGACGGGCAAGAACTGTCAGGGTTTTTTGTTTTGTTTTGTTTTGTTTTTGGCCTGGAATATTTGCATAAATGTCATTATTCACTTCTATACGCAATATACAATCATCACCTAGGGACTTCCACATTATTTCGGGGGAAAACACATAAGGACCCGAAGTTTGAATAAACGAGAACTTGGCATGAATGTTTAAATGAACTTTGGCATCCCCCTTAGAATGGGGCAGAGGAACCCGAAAACCCTTGGCCCACGGCCGGGTAGTGGCGACGCGCTGGGCGCACCTCTCACAAGTGACGCGGATGCGCTCGTCACTGGACGACTGCTGCTCGTCCTCCTTCTCTTGGAAGTGCTCCTGCACGCACTGCTCCTCGAACTCATGCAGTCTCTTGAGCTCCTCCTCGCTGAGAAACAGCTCTGTGTAAAGGAAGGTTTGCTAAGTGAAAAACAAGCCATATCCGTGAAGAATCAATTTAGTTGCGTCATTGCGAATTTCACGACCCAACCTTAATTAAGCTCCTTTCTCCATCACTTGCAGGCAGTTCTCTGACTACTAAGATTGTTTGTTCCACAAAGAGAAGTTGTAATAAGCAGCAATTATCTTTCCACTAGAGCTCACTTTTTAACACAAAAAACAAAATTACAGCTATTCGAAAAATGAAACCAAGTACTATTTTCTGCAAAACCTTTTGCATATATTTTATGGATAGACTCAAGTGTACAGCATTATTTTCCCATCCTCTTTAGATGCAATAAATTAAAACATTTTGAAAGGAATATTGAATTTATATGGAAGAGTTATTTTCAAGACCTCTCCCAACTTCTGATCTCTTCATGAGTGGGCTTTCCATAACCCTAGTTAGTAAATTAAAACTAGAATGAAATCAACACAAAATGAGAAGCATTCTGCAAAGAATAGCAGTTGGACTAGAGCGTTGTGTTTTCATACATTTAAGTAGTTTAATGAGATTTTCATGAGGGGGTCCAATTTGAATGCTCTTTTGAAATTATCCAAGATAGAAACGAAAGAGTCCTGCACATACTCAGTCCACGATCCTGTTCGTCTTGGTCCCCTTCTCTTTTCTTCCTACAGCGACCACTAAGACGCATAATGATTATGTAGATGTGGCTTAAAATGATCATTGGTGGAGGGAGGACTGGCCGGTCATGGAATGTCATAATCAGTTGATAGCGCTGGAATTTCCACACTTGGTTGGATATTGACTTTACTTCAAAGAAGGTATTGCTTTAAAAAGAATAAACTTTTAGTTAGTTATGTTACTTTGTATTGTGATTTCCCAGGGCAACCAGAGTTACTTGCATTGGAATGAAAATACACAAGGAAATGGCCTTTTAGTGCCAGTTAGTACTGACTTCTAGATCACCCTGTCTTTTAGTTTATCAATGTGGATCACCTACACTCAAGGACATTTTATTCATGTAAATAATTAAGAATTAAGCATATTAAAGTTGCCACCTACTGCTTTCTTGAATAGCCCACTCTGCAGTCTACTGACTCATATGCTCAGGAAATTTCACTTCAGAAATTTAAAGGTATGAGCCATTCAACTAAGCATTTTGAACTATTTAAACTTTCAATTCAGTAGAACAACTAGTTGGCTACATTTTTTTTTGTAATGGAATTGATTATCGAACTTTGATCAAAAGTACATTATTTTGGATGCTGGGAGGTACAATCTTTGTTTTCTTCCCGTTTCCAACGGGAGGCAGTAAGCGCATGATTGTTGAAAGTTGGAATCCTGGTGGAGCATGTTGTCTACTGACTCGGGGACATTGGAAAAGCCAGTTAACCTCTCATGACCTTTGTTTTCTCATCTCTCAAGACAGGAGTTTGAAGCAGATTCTCTCCAATGCCCTGGCCAGCTCTAAGATTCTATAGTTCCCTGAAGGAGTTTTCCCTTTTATTTTTTGTCTTAGAAGCTAAAATAATTTTCTCAACATTTATTAAGCACGGTCACATACTCAACACATCATCCTAAAACACACAAGGTTTATAAGAAGCTTGGTTTTATAATTTAAGCCGTTTCTTTCCTAGGCCATTTTATCTTCTATTCTCCAAATGACAAGGAAAATATTTTATATAATGTTACATTAATTGTCTTGTGGTCTAGTGGTTAAGATTTGGCACTCTCACTGCTGTGGCCTAGTCAGGGAATCATACCACCCATCTGTTGGTTGTCGTACTGTAGTGGCTGCATGTTGCTGTGATGCTGAAAGCTATGCCATGGGTATTTCAAATACCAGCAAGGGCTGGACAGACTAAGCACAATGGAGCTTCCAGACTAAGACAGGCTATGAAGAAGGACTGGGTCACCCACTTCTGAAAAAATTGGCCAGCAAAACCCTATGAATAGTAGCGGAGAATTTTTTAATACAGTGTGGGAAGGTGAGAGGTTGGCACAAAAACACTGGGCATGGGTCTCCTCTGCTGTCCACAGGGTGCTAGGAGTCAGAATGGACTCCACAGTGCTAGAAACAAACAGTAGTTGTCACAGCTTGTGAAATTAACATTGCTTTCTGTGCCTCTGATAATGAATTAAACGCACAACTCAATAAAATCTTCTCTACCTGAGGGGACTTTCATCTAAGAAAATATTTTCATTAGATTAAAAAACATGCTAAAGTATTAAAATACTACCCAAGAATAAATTTAAATGTATTTGTCAACTCTTGATTTATGAATACATTAAGACTGATTAAGTTTAAACAAAAAAGACTGCAAAAATTCAAGCATTTAAAAGCCCTAGTGAAATTCTGTGTAAGTCCATGGCAGCTTGGGAGAGTTCTGAGATAAAACTGGAAATTTGTAAAGTAATAAATAATAAGCACACGGTCATCAGCCGTGACACATACTTAAAAACTGCAATGAGCAGGTTCACCAGCAGGATGTTGGCCACCAGGAGGTAGCACGCCATGATGGCCGGAGTGAGCCAGGCACCTGGGATACACGGAGGGAGCCGCTTGCCGTCCTCATCGTACTGGTTGTCACCACAAGGAGCTGAAACAAAAGTTTGTCTTGTTGTGCTTGCTTTTTACATGGAACAAAAAGAATAAATAGTTCACATATGCCATTAAATGACCTATTTCTTTTTTAACATGATTTTTTTCCTGGTTTCATAAACAATAATTTGCCATGTGAAAAATATCAGTTCATGCAAAATGGATAGGCAACTCATTTCCGCACTCAGAGATAGTCGTTCTTTACTTGTCATATTTGTAAACATTTTCCCATTTCTTTATTGTGTTTTGACATAGAGAAGTTCTTAATTTTTAAGCAGACAAATCTGTCTCCATGGTTTCTTTCTTTGCTGTTATCCAGTAGAAAGTTATTGTGTCCTCTAATTATTTAGCATTATCTTATGTTGTCTTCTTGGTTTCACTTGTACATTAACTTTGAAAATAATTTTGTTGTGGGGCAGGAGGTGAGGGTCCCCTCTGCTCTCACATCTGTTATCAACTGTTCTGGGGCCATTTTGGAAAATAATTTTTTCTCTCTGCTCATTTGAAATGCCACTTTGATCATAGGTACCTATTTCCTGAAGACAAAACTAGGACGAACCCAACAGTGATTAGTGAAGTAATAATCATAAATTTATAGTCTACTTACTTTCAGTTTTAAAAAGTATTGACATCAGAGAACAAGAGAAGCATTTGAAAGCAGTATAAGACTATCACTAATTAGCTAAGGAAGAGACTAATTAATACACACAATTCATGGACTAGAGTCATCAATTCTGTGTAAACTTACGATTAATTTCCATAGCGTAGACTATATAGCGATTGGAAAGCAGAATTTAATTTTTTTTAGTTGTGGCAGGAAGGCAGGAAAGAAAATAAGATGACAGTTGAGAGAAAAGTAAAACAAATGATTAACAACACAAGAACTGTTTTGCTGCAAGAAATGCAAAATATTCAAGCTTGGGAGCTACAGATTCATGCTTGGAAACAGTGATCTATTTAGAAGAAATTTTACACATTATTAATTTTAGGAAATACATATATGTTTCATGAATATTTATTTTACCATATGTTACAAGCAATAGCTAAAGCTCACTAGTTAAAAATACTGTGAAAAAGACATGAGGCTACTGGCAGATGATCATTTTAACGTACAGGTTAGCCAATCAAGCATTCCCTATATCCCAACACAGACACCTCGTAAGCACAAGTAAATGCACAATTATTATGAAATGGTCAGATCACGAATCAAAAACCTACACTTCATGGTGCTACTGAAAATAGCCTCAAGTTTACTGCTTTATCTTTTCTCATTACCCAATTTAATAAAAAAATATAAAAATACTACAACTTATGTCTGGATCCAGGGACTTTTAGCATTTATGTATGTTTACCTAAGCTAATATTCTTTTGAAACCAAATTAGATTTTTATGTTCTGGCTTTTACCAAGCTACAAACACATTCAATAATTGACTTTGAGATACTTGTGATAATAATGTGTTTTGAATCATGTTATAAAAGCTAGATAGAAGGCATTGAACGAACTTGTTATCAGTCTAACCTAATGGTGGTAGATATACTGACAACCATGCATTTCATACGAGGGAAGGATGTTCAAAACCTATTCCCAAGAAGCAGAACACTGGAGGTGGTGGACATGCTATTGTACCTGATGCTTTATGATAGGGCACAATATGCAAAGGAAAATATTGTTGCTGATGTGAAAACAGAGCCTCGTTCATTGGTGGTACATTAGCTGTCCAGGTGAAATAAGTATAAAAATATTTGAGCTTCACTTCCCTACAACACAAGAGACACTGTGAGCTACAGGCTCAGCCTGGGGAGGAGCTGGGTCCTGCATTCCCCAGAAATCCATGCAGGATTGCTGCTCATTTCCTCTGCTAACGTCCAGATTATTGTTGATTAAAAAATAGCACTCCAGAAGTGAAGAGGAAATTGATAACTATGTGGAAAATGGGCTTTGGTGGCTTGAAGAAAAGGATGACATGAGGCACCAGTCACCCTGTCATGCTCACCATCTCATTCTATTGGAATAAGATACCAGCTCTATCTTGGAGTGGAAAGAGATTTAGGCTGAAGAAAAATTAGGATATTGGCATTGGGACTACATTCATGCGATGGGATGTTCACTAGGTCCAGCTAAAGTGATGTGAGACTCTTTCAGAATTCTATTAATGACTTTTAGAGTAGAAGAAATGACTGATGTCTCAAAAATCTACATTTCATAATCTGCACACATTCCTTCATAAAATAATTTGATGCCTATGGAAGAATAAAAAATACTTTATTTCCAAATTAACAAATGCTCTTCCATTAATTTGGAGCTGATCATCTGCCTCAGAAGCAGGGAAGAGAATCTTACTATGAATTCTATTCTTACGGTCTATCTGGTCTGCAAACACCTCTCCGTAGATCATCCAGTAGGGCATGTAGAAGATGTTTCGGGCCAGTTTCCAAGACGGCTCCTCATCTGGGTGCAAAATGGCTTGACGGGCTACTCCAAAACTCATCAGCACAACCAGCATGATGACCACAAAATACAGCATGTCAATCATCTGAGTAGAGAGAAAATGTGTCTCTTACTGTCTTGATTCATGGTCCAAGTTTGCCTGCTTCATTATATTGCTCTCCCCAAAGCCATCAGGAGTGTTTAATTAAGATGAAGAAGGCCTCTTTGCCTTCTCTCCATCTCATCTTACTAAGGAGTAAGAGGAGGAGATATCTCGGGAGGTAAGAAGATAATGAATTGAGTACACAATGATATTTATTCATTCATTATACAATTGCTGAGTGGTTACCATGAGCAATACTCCGGTTACTATGGATACTGAACTGGTATAATTCCTAATTTAGAACATTCCTGAAGACGAGGACCCTTGTGGGCATAAGCTAAACCATATATCCCTTCACTCAAAGCCACTTGCCCTATAAAGAGTTATTCCCAAACTTAGGAGACTTCCTTCCTCCTGGCACCAGTCCTCACACTGAAGCTATTTTAGGTGATGTGAAGATAATCTGCTAGTTCGTTTTTAGTTTCATATTCTATGGCTTGTTCTGGACAAAATGTTGCCATGGATTTGTCTTGGCCTAATCACATGAACTGCCTTTGTCCACTCCAGGCCAGAGCACATGAACTGAAGACTGGAATACAAGTGACGGAATGACCCTGGACCCCTTTGTCACTGACTTCCAACTCGTGTTCATCAATTGGATTTTATTAAGTTATTAGCATGCAAGAGAACTATGTATCTTAAAACAAAAAACATTTCCTGTAAGAAATCAACTGCAAAGGAAAGACGAAATGAAATCTAACGAAGCCATGCCCAAGGCCTGGTCTCAGGTCCTCACTAGAGCCACGGTGTCTTTAGTTACTCACAGGGTGTCAGTACTAACCATCTTTCCAATCATCATCACGTAGGGCCCCAGATACTTGTTAACACCAAAGATGTCCAGGACGCGGATGTACCAGAAGATGATATCCACACAGTAGATGACTCGGCCGTAGCCCATGTACGGCTGCTTCTGTAGGCGAAGGATTGCTCCAATCATGAACATGGAAATGGCCACGAGATCCGTGATGTTCCAGTACTCCTGAAGCCAAACCTTTATTTTCTGGCTGAGTTTGCCCGGTTCGGACATTAGGATCTGAAAACATGCCAAAGAACAATAAACAGGAAGTGCTCTATTGGAAGCCTCGGGCTCCTTAGAATCTTGGAAAGACAGGACTGGTGGAACATTCCAGGGCATCTGGTCCCCCTTCCGGCTCAAGACCTCTAAACACTAATCTTCTCTGGCAGAGAAAGATATCTAGAAAGGGAAATTCCACAGAATCCTCTGTATTCCTAGATTCACTGTTTCACAAACTCTCAGGAAATGCCTTCTAAATTATGTCCTCTGGCTATAATGAAAGCAGCTGCCTCTTGATTTCTTTTCCAATTCTTGGGACACATGCCTATTGGCCCACATTTAGGAATTAGTCCAGGAGGAAAACTCTAGAGCAGAGATGAATCTGTGTGGTCCTACAAAAGAGCAATCCAACCAGTGGAGATGGTAGAATTGAGCTAGAAAATGTTTCTTGGCCAAAATTCCTTTGCAACTTAGATATGAGAAGTCAAGGGAAAGTTGGACTCCATTTTCTCCTACTTCGGATATTACCCTTTCAAAATCACCATGATTGAAAGGATACTGCCTCGGAGTAAATTGAGAATATTGAACAACTAGCAGCACGGGTACACACAGAGTCATCCCCAGGGACACAGCTGTGGTGTGCACCAGGGTGGGGGTGTGCTGTGCCGGATGGCACACCTTTAGTTAGGGGGACTCTGGGTAGGTCCCAGGGACCACAGGGGTGGGTTGGGGTGGTGGCTACATATCAGCCAACACAGAGAGGATTCACTAATTTCACAACCCATGCACACTGGCTGATGGCTGCCCTCTTTGCTATAACTGGAGGAGAGCTCCTGGAGTAAAGAACAGTGTCTTAGTGCACGGCTGAGGCTCATCAAGATCATGGTGACACTAGAGATGGTACAACAGGCCACTTGGGGAATCCAGTTCTAACATCTGCAGAATCTGAGTGAAGCCCAACTAGAAAAGAAAGAGGAGCAGTAGAAGGAGATGGGTTGTAGAATTCGGATTTGACACTCTTTTGGTTTCTCAGGTTCTCATTAGATGGACAGCATCAAACTCACTCTACTGGGAAGACGTTGCTGGTGATATTTTTTTCAGTTCAGTGAAAGAGGGGTCAATAACGATTGCAAAATAATAGTACTGGTTCTATGTAAGTTGGAGAAAGAATATGAAATCCTGCTGTATGCTTTTTCAGTTAAAGTGCCCTTTTTCTTGGATATAAGTTTTCTCTTTATAAGCTAATATAGTGCATTACAACTTGTGGTTAATATTAGGAAGAGAAGTAGCCGGCCCATATTTCTACTGCCACCTGCAAAAATTGCCCTCTTGGAGTTACACGTTAATTTTAAGTCCTCTGTGATATGAGTCATGCATGAAATGGTGCCTGTCCTTTTTCAACACTTAGTTGAAAATCTTGTTCCCTCTGTTTGCAGCAGATGCTCTAGTGGCCTGTGCAGACACCCTGGTTGCTTTCACCAGCTGGGTGTGCCCAGGCCCCATCTGCTGCAGGTGCTGCTGTTCAGCTCCCACTCACCCCATTGGGCAATTGGAGCTGCCTTTCTTGTAGGTGCCAATGACTGGCTGATGTGGGTACAAGACCGCTCCTTTCATTCAAGGTGGGACAGACTCAACAGAGTCCAGTACACTCAGAGTCCCCTCTGAGCATTAGGCCAGGGACAGATCCCACTGAGACCACACCTGGCTCAGCTTCTTCTCCGCTCCTGGACTGCCCCCCTGCTCCCTCTCATGGCTCTCCTGAGAGCCCTCCTTTAATAAATCACTTGCACAAGAATCTCCATCATGCACATAGGGAGCCTGAGCTAGGACAGTGTGGTTCAGAGTCTTAAGTTGCAGGAAAAATGTTATCTCTTGTCTCTCTCTGTTTCTAGTTTCAGCCCCCAGAAAACTGAGCCAAAATTTGTACCCAGTTGTCGTAATTGGTTTATCTCAAGTACCTGGCAGGATTTACTGTTGCTTTTATAGGCGCTCAGGTCTGTTTTGTTTTTTTTTTTGGTGAGGAAGACTGGCCTTGGGTTAACACCTGTTGCCAATCTTCCTCTTTTTGCTTAAGGAAGATTGGCACTGAGCTAATATCTGTGCCTGTCTTCCCCTATTTTGCATGTGGGTCACTGCCATAACATGGCTTGATGAGTGGTGTAGGTCTACACCCAGGATCCGAACCTGTGAACCTGGGCCACTGAAGCAGAATGCACTGAACTTAAATCACCATGCCACTGGGCTGGCCCCACTCAGATCTGTTTTTATTACTAAACATCATTTATTTTGCCTTGTGTTTTGATTTGCAAGTTCAAATTCAGTTGGAAGCAGAGGCATATAAATCTTAAGCAAGGAAATGGAATAAACTTGGGATTGTGACACCTCAAAAGAAAAGTCCCCTGGCACTTATGATTTGCAGAAAATGTTTTTGCAATAAGAAGCTACAGGTGAATTGAAGTCAGTGGTTAGCGGGTCTGGGGCAGGCCTCTGGAGTAATCACCTCTCGTATTTTCTCTAAGGCCAGGCTCACGATGTAGGAGATGACGATCCACTCCTGGAGACAGGGCCAGCGGTCCATCCGCACCAGGATGACGTAGTTGAAGAGCAGTAAGTAACCTAAGTACGATATCTGACAGACCGACAGAAAAATGGTTAGCAGTGTTTGGGGAGATAACACGTGGTGGAAAACAAGTGTTGAAACTCTATTTTCGGGCTGACACATCTTCTAAAATAAATTTTCATTTCCAACCGGACCGATTCATTTAGAGGAAACCTTCCACTCCCATCGCAGGGCAGACAGAGAGCTTTGAGGCCGACTGGGAGGCATTTTATACTTCAGCACGATATGGGCGCTGACGTTTCATTTTCTAAATGAAGATGTATTTGCTGCTTTTATTACTTTCGTGGGGGAAATTGTGAAGTTACACGAAATTATGATGATAGGGAAAGTTTTAATATTTTACTGGTGTCTCTTCTACCTTCCTGGAAATTGGAAAATGTACTTACACCTTCCGCCTCAAAAATGTCCCTCTTGAATCTTTCCACTAATCATGGACGCGGGAGGTTAGAAGGGAGGAGGAGGAGTTGTCTGCACACGCACACCGTCCCCTCAATTAGCATCGACATGTCTGTGGTATGCTGTGGCCATAACAGGCTCCCTGTTTTTGTGGCAAGAAAAGGTGTAGAGTCTGGAGGTGTATGGGAGTGGGGTGAGGTAGATGGGAGTGGCATGAGGTGGAGGGAGGTGGCCTGAAATTGATTGTCTGAGGCTGATTCACTGTGAAGCTGAGAAATCTTCAGTTTCAGGGCTCCTCACTGGCACAGGCCCCTTCTGAAGTCTTGGGGTGGCGTGGGTGCGGAGGGTGTGCTGGCAAATGTGTATTTGTGGTTTGGCAGACTTTTTTTTTAAGATCACCCCTCCTCATTGTATGAGCTTTACCAGGATACAGTTAAAATCCCTTGTATCCACTGTTTACTCCTTGCAGAGGATTAGAGCCAGACTTCTCAACGTTGAGCTGTATCAGAATCTCCTGAAAAGCTGTAAAACATGCGATGCCTTCCCCCATGGCCAGAGATAACATCAGAGGGTCCAGGGTGAGACTGGGGCTCTTCGACCGCCTCTACAGCTGCATCTGTGCTGAGCTCTCCTGCAGGCCAGGCGCACCCCATTGTTCAGCTCGTTCTCACCAGAACAGGTGAGCACCAGTGGTTTCAGCGCTTGCCAGTTGTGGCTGTCTAAAGGTTGGGTGTCCAGGTCCATGGTCGACCTGGGTCCCCATGCAGCTCCCCAGGTGCTATTCCCCAGAGCTCTGCCTCTGGCCCTGCCCACCCTCATTCATTCCCATCCATGGCCTGGGACCCCGCTCCTTGTGTCCCATCACCTGCTAATCCAGGCACAAATGGAACCACAGGGTTGGAGCTTGCCTGGCGTGCACTGCTGCTTGGTGCTTGGACCTTCATGAGTAGTCTTGTCCCCTCCTCCAGACTGAAATGGTTGTGGGAGCTACTACATGCCTGCCACCCCTGCTGGGACCGCCTGCTCCTAGGACAGTTTCCCTTACAGCCTTCCCATCTGCTCGGGTCTGCACACCTCTCTTTTCCCCCCATCCGAGGAAGTCCCAGCGTGCGTCAGGCCAGGACTGTGCTTGTTAGGGCTCGCCACACTCCTGGAGCTGTCAGGACACTGGCCACCAAAGGGGGATGCAGGAAAGGGTATGGCCAAGTGGGTCGGCTTGATGTGCACGTTAGAGTGGAGAAGACTTCATGTGCTCCCCTATTCCAGGAGTTTATGATTGGAGTTCAACCACACCCTGTAGTAATCCCACCAGTTTCATGAACAAAATGGCGTCTTTGAGTTTGCTCTTTAAATCACTAGTCATCTTTGTTCATTTTTAAATGAAGCTATATTTCACTGTTTGTATTGCTAAAGGCATTAAAAAATCCTTCATCTTAAGCAAATAGACTAAGACTATTTTGCTTTACGAAATGGCATATTTGGGGCTAGGATGGCCACGTTCCTACATACATATAAACATGTGACAAGATATCTAGATCTAATTTTAGTTGAAGATCTGTGTTAATCCTAGTTTCATTTTCATAATTCGTTTTAATTCAGTGATTTTTTTTAAACGCTGTTTTAAGCTCTTGACATTTTTCCTGATTCTAACATATCTGTGTTCAAAACACTCTAAATGGCAAATGCTACTAAGCAGGCCTTACTGTGTAAAACCAGAACTTGACAATGGGAGCATTATAGAATTCACAGATCTTTGTGCCAATGGGAATACTTCTTTGCTTTTTGTGCTCATTCTCTTCATCCCCCTTTCTGGAGCCAGCATCTGCATTCGCATCCTGGAAGACAGAACACAGTGCAGTTGCTAAGGGAGAAATGCAACATACTCCAGCACAGTACTTAACAGACAGGCGCCTTTAAAAATAAAGAATTATAAAAATTTCTCCAATTACTGCAGTTTCTAATTTCATAGTAAGAGAAATCTCAACAATTTTGAAAATGAGAGTAAATTAGTGTTGTTATGATTAAGGTTATCGCTGACCATAGTCTCCTCTTCTTTTTCTTTGCCATCTTCATTTTCCTTGGATGTTTGATATGAGAAGTCATCATACGTGCGAAATTCCAAGAATAAGATGGTGGGGGGAAGAAGAATCCCCATTATAACCTATGTATGATGAGAAAAATAAATTTTTAAGCTATGACAATTCTTGAAAATTTTCCTAGTATAGGTAAAATTTTAAAATTATAACCTTCAACATTACTCAATAACCTAGCAGCTCTGAAACAGGTTTATCTCTGCTCTGATGTTCTGTGGCTTATTTGGTTTGATACATCGGCAAAATTGCAGACAATGAAAAATATAAGAACATCAACCAAATTGTTTTAGATGAACAGCAAGCAGAATCACGTGGAATCTTGACTTAAAAAAGCAAAGATCTTGCATTAAATTTCAAAGTAGGTAAATCTTTACATTAAAATATAATAAGTAAAAATAAATAGATAAAATTTAACAATACCTCTAGTGAAGTAGATAAAAAAATATTTTATACACAAATAACTTAGAGGTAATGTGAATATATGGACCAAGAGTTGGAAGACAAATGTGACTTGGGTTCAGTCTAGACAACAAAAGGATGCCGTGGCCCGTAGATAGAAAACCTTCTTGTCATTTTTATCAGTGCTGTGCTGTGTATCTCCAATGCTGAAATCTGTTCTCAGTGTTCAGTGCTGATTTTGGAAATATTCCCTCAGTAATCCATTATTAAGAACAACACAAAATGGCTATTTCTACCACATATTAAAAATTATATTATGCTATAAAACATCAGTAATTAAGACAGTGTGGTACAGGTGCATGAATAGACCAAAAATTGGAATAGAATAGAAGGTCCAGAAATAGATTCAAATACACACAGAAAATTAGTATATGATAAAAGTACCACCTCAAATTGGAAGAATAAAAATGGACTATTTAGTAAATGGTATTGAGAAATTGGGAGATCATCTAGAAAACATTTAAGTTGGATCCATATCTCACACCAGGATAAATTCCATCTAGCTTCAAGATTTTATGAAAGAAAAAAATGTAAAACAACTAACAATAATCACATGAGAATTCTTATAAATGGGAGGGTGGGAGAAGGCCTTTCTAAGTATGCCCCCTAATCAAGAAGCAATTGTATTTTGATTTAAAAAAATGACTAATGAAAAAAAGGAGCAATCAAAGGAAAGATCAGTATATTTAGCACTTAGAAAAAGCACAAACTTCTGCACAGCAAAAAATGACATAACTAAAGTAAAATACAACTCATGGGAAGACATATTTGCAGCTCATGTGAGAGGCAAAGGGCTAATCTTTCTGATTCGAAAGGAGCTCCCAGAAATCGAGAAGAAAAGCTCCACAACGCAGCAGAAAAATGAGGCAAGGCTATGAACTGAGAGATATTGGTGCTGACAGGACAATGAGCTCACTCTCTCTCATAGTATGATAAATGCAAAGTAACTACACAGAGATGTTGTTGTTTACCGTCAGGTTGGAAACATTCAAAAGTTTGCCCACACACTGTGTTGGTGAGACTGTGGGAAAGCATACATTCCCCCACACTGTTGGTAGAAGTGTAAATTGGGACGATCCCCCAGAGGGAGGCTTGTCCAACCTATCAAAATTGTATATGCATATCCCCATGGGGCCACCAGTTCCACCTCTGGACATTTATCTAACAGATACTTGAGACACGATTTGTGTCCAAGAGCATTCACTGTGGCAGTGAGTACACCACCACAAGATGGGAGAGACCTCCATGCCTCAGTGGGCACTGGCTGAATCAACTGTGGCATCCTGCAATAATGGAATACAACCCAGCTGAGAAAGAATGCGGGAAATTTCTATGTAATAATAGGGAAAGAACTCCCAGATTAAGTAAAAAAGCAAGGTACAAAACCGGGAGTATGCCAACTCTTGTGAAAAAGAGGACACAATGAGGATATTTATTTGTAGTAGCTTTATATATGGAAGGATACACAAGAGACAAGTACCAGTGGTTGCCATGGGCGGGATCAGGGCAGTTGGGGGACAGGCATGGAAGGGAGACTTATCACATCCTTCCAGATAGTGAAAAATTTTTGAACCATGTGCATATTATATTACCTATTCAAAAAATTAAATTACAAAGAACAATCCAAACAATCCCTGATTTAAAATAATTATATTTTTACATTGCAAATTTAGAAATGCTTTGAAGGAAATTCGATGCTTAAAAATATTTCTACCTTTCGGTATACGTAATATTTAAAAGAGGTGTTACTTTAAAAAAGAAGGAAATGATAGCAACTTTCTTGGATCTCTTTTTCTCAATTTTATTCATTAATATTTAAAAAATTGAAGTAATACAGGCATGTGGTTGAAAACTGAATAGCCTAGATAGACTCGTAGTGAAAAGGGAAGGTCTCCTGCCACATCCCTCCGCTTCTCAAATCCTGCTCCTGGGGTAAAAACTCTTGTAAACCTTTTTAACATAAAATAAAACACAGATACGAAAAAAGCACAGCAAACACAGGCATAGATTAAGGAATCATAAGGTGGGCATCCTTGCCGTCATATCTGGGTCATCAAATTGGCCAGTGTCAACCACTGGAGAAGCCCCTCCATGTACCTGGTCCCCATCACAAACCTCTCTCCAAAGGAACCACCATCCCGACTTTTGAGGAACCAATTCAGTGCATTCTTTTACATCTTTATCACCTGAGTGTGCGTCCCTAAACCTGGATGGTCCAGTTTGGGTGCCACAGGCTACATGTGCTCCTGAGCACTTGAAATGTGGCTAGTCCAAGTTAGGATGTGCTGTCAGTGCAGAATACCCACTGGATTTTGAAGACTTCGTACAACAAAAGAACAGAGACTGTCTCATTAGTGATTTACTATTGATAACATGTTGAAAGGATGATATTTTGTATTTACTGGCTTAAACATATTAAAATTAATTTCAACTGTTTCTTCTTGACATTTTACAATGTACTTTTAAAAAAACTTTTTATAACCAAAAAATTTTACTTTTTGTTACTAGAAAATTTAAAATGACATATGTGGCTTGCAATTTTTTTCTTGTGGACAGCACTGCTACAGACGCTACAGCTTAATCTTGTCCTTTACAATTCTGGTATGTTTTTAAATGTTTTTTAATATACACATTTCCTGTTGGTTTATCTGTTGAAGAGCTAGAGGATTTGGACCTGTGGAGTTGGTCACAGAGTGGATTTTGGGGATTGCAAGACTCGTGTGCCATTCTAGATGCTTCCCCGTCCTCGTTATTTCCTGCCAGTTGGCAGTTGCATGCAGAGGCCTGACCAGACCCAGGTTTGAGCTCTTTGGCGAGACTGTAGATGGTGTGTTCTCTCATCAGGAAGCAGATTGTCCCTCTTTTGATGTTAGCAGCCACTGATGCTCCATGCCAGATTCATTAACTTGCTGGGTGTTGAAAATTGGTGATGTTCTAATTCTATCATTTGTTTTCCATTTCTTAGTTGGAATAATTTTACAAAGAGGCCTTCCCCCCATCTACTCATAGTACAGTTCATAGAGGAAGCGCAGGATAAATGCTTGATTCTTTCCCCTTATTTACCTGTTTTCAAGATAATGAATTGCTGTCCTAACATCTACTTAAGGCGACTGATTATTTTTTTTAATATTTAGTTATGAACTCACAGATTTAAACATGTTTGATATGCTTCAATCCATTGCTATTAGCAATATTATTGAAAGTCAAATTGTCCCATTTGGGGCAGTAGAAGCCTCTTCAAGTTGGTTCCTGGGTCCCCCGATCTGAACCTACTGCTTTGACAGCTTGTTTGCCATGTGGTATGTCAAGATGTTCCAGGCTCATCTTGTATATTTCCTGCTCCAGACCTGCACTCAACCATTTCTCGGAGAAGTTCTGGTATCAGTTAGTGGGAAATGGTATTTCAAGACCACAATCTGGGCATTATTGTTCATTGCTTTTAGGTAGGTCATTGTTTCTAGGCTTTTCATTAGTAGAGCTGGAATGAGTTCATATTGATGCTTCCAATTAAGCACTATAGGCTTACTTACCCTTTTCTAGATTACACCTGTATTTCCTTTTGTTCCACATTGAGTCCTAGTTGTTAAGGACAGGCGGGATGATGGAACAAAATAGCCATCATTACTCTGTTGCTTTAACTTTATAGCTTCAGAATAACAATGGTAATAATACTACTATCAATTATGATTATGGAAAACAGTTACAATTTTATTTTGCATATGTGCTCCCCATTCTTCCCTCATTTTTTGAATGGTTGCATTATATCTACATTATCAGAACATATAGCCATTACATACTCAGCACTGCAGGTAAATATATATCTGTCGCTCGCTATTGGTCCTTATGCTGATGCCTCTCTGGTTATTTTGCGTCTTGGGAAGCTCATTATCTAATGGATTCTTCAGAAAGGGCTCATAGGAACAATATTCCTTTGGGTTCTTGTTACCAACAGGTAACAGTTTGTGTGTACCCTTTGTATTTGACAGTCGCTTTTCGTAGATATGAAATCCTTGCCTCACATTTTCTTTCTGGGACTATCTTTATACGATACACAGCATGTTTTTTTCCTGATATAAATGATCGTTGTTGAAAATCTGATGATAATCTAATTTTCTTTTCCTTATGAATTCCTTGTTCTTTTTTGACTGGGTGCCCAAAGAATTTTTCATTAAAATTTAATAATTTTATTAAAACGTTGGTTGTTCTAGGTTGATATACTCAGGTTCACAATGTGTTTTTTAAATATATAGTTTCATGTCATTTGTCTTTAAGAGAAATTTTTGAACTATAGTTTGAGATAGTCACTTCTGTTTCTGGTTTTAGCTCTTATTGATACTTTTGTATCTTATATTGCTATTTCTTTGTTAATTTAAGTACTATTGACATTCTATTATTTTAAATGAGACTTTATTTCATCCTACCCCCTCTCACTCCCATTTTTAATAGCCATATCAGTATTTTCAGTTCCTACGAAGTTACCTTTGTAACTTTACATGATAGACTGAAATCTTTCTCTCTTTTTCCAGCACATTTTGATAGTCTTGATTCCCATTTTATAGTGTGGGGATATCACCACTTTCCCTTCTCCCTCCACCACCAACTTTCCTCAGCTGTACCTTTGTTTTTATATATTTTTTTTTAAGATTGGCACCTGAGCTAACATCTGTTGCCAATCTTCTTTTTTAAAATTTTTCTTCTTCTTCTCCCCAACGCCCCCCAGTACATAGTTGTATAGTCTAGTTGTGGGTCCTTCTGGTTGTGCTCCGTGGGACGTCGCCTCAGCACGGCCTGATGAGTGGTGCCATGTCTGTGCCTAGGATCCGAACTGGCAAAACCCTGGGCAGCCGAAGCAGAGCACGTGAACTTAACCACTCGGCCCGCGGAACAGCCCCGCTTTTCTATTTTCACAATTGATAACGTTTGGATTCTGTTTAGGAACCATATTTAAATCTTCAATGCTTTGTCTATGGGACTATTCTAAAAGCTGAAAACCAATATAAAGCATTTCTATTTTTATTATTGTATAAATACTGTTTGTTGCACTGCTTCAAGGCAGGCTATGATTACAGTTTTAATGTAGAATTCTGGTGCCGCTAAAGGGACATGTTTGTAGCATTAAAGGTCAAATGGTTTTTTTTACACTCTACCAATTGCTAAAATCTTTCCAATTTTTAATTTGAATCATAACTGACCCTTAACTTTTCTGTGCAGTTTTATGTTTTTCCTGAAATTTGGTTCTGCTTATATTTTCTCATTAAGGACTTTCTTGTTAAGGATTATAAACTATTTTTGTTTCTGTAACCTATATCTCTGATACTTTTTGCTTCTTAGTCACTCTGTCTGTTTATTGGAATCCTTTCTGTTCTTCATGAGGACTTTCTTCTTGGATCTCACTTACTCCTTATACTCAGTCTGACTGCCTTCGCATCCTGTTGCACAGCTTCCATATGGGGGTTTTAAAATGTGGGGCTTGTTTCTCGCATTCCACATCTCCTTTTTTTCTTGTAAATTTTACCCTTCTTTTGGTGGAATAGCTGCTGAAGTAGTTTTTCTGAATAGGTATATAGAAAGTATATAATTTGAATCTTTACCTATGTTAAATAGATATTTTATCCTCATGCTTAAAATAGCTGGACTGGGTAAAAATATTCCAGGTTCCAAATGTTTTCCCCTCAGAACTGTAAAGGCCTTGTTCCAGTGCCTTCTGGGTTTCAGGATTATTGATGAAAAGTCTGATGCCAATCTGCTTATCCCTTTGTAGGTAAACTGTTTTATTTTCCTTAAAACCTTTAGGACCTTCTCATTATTCTTGGTATTCTGAAAAGTATTTATTGATTTATACCCATGGTTATATATAACATCAGCTTAGTGCATTATATAGAGTTGGACAGTTAGGCGTAACATTCATATTTTAAAGAAATGGAGTTCTTCCTATTTTCTAGAACCATGCTACACAATGAAACATCGATTGTCTTTTCTTTATCCTCATAGCAATACCATGAGATAGAAGTAATATTGCCACTATGGAGCTGGGTTATCTAAGATTAGAATCTCTTCTTAAGATAACCTATTAGTTCACAGAAGTAAATAGCAGATTTAGCATTTGATTGCAATACAATTTTCTCCTCACTACAGCTTTTTCAAACCCTTTTATAATTTCATAGTCTCTCATAAACCCCTTGTAATGAAAACATTGCCAAATAAAATAGTATCACACAGTTTGAGAGTTGCGAGGGAAATAGAGTTCAGGTGCCTGTTTAATGGTGGGCAGATGGCCTGTCCAGGGGTGCGTGGTTAGTTAGGGTGGGCTCCCAGCTTAAGCCAGGCACGCTGATTCGGTTGGGCTCTGGCATTAGACCGCCTGTGTTCAGGTCCTGGACCCACGCCTTACCAGCTCAGATCCTAGCAAGTCACTTAATCTTGAAGCTTCAGATTCTCCATCTGTAAGGCAAGGATTGTCATGGCATCTCCCTCATGGGGTTGTTCAGGGGAATAAATGAAATAATCCACAGGAAATGCTTAGCTCAGCCAGGCAGAGGGTAAGCTCTCATAGATGTCACTTGTCATTATATTGTCCTTACCGGTCTGACGGTCACGGCATGCATACCTTTAGGCCAGGATTTTTCCTCATGCGCAGCCGTCCCATCCACATGTCGGTCAGCAGCATCTGGCTGCAGGTGTGAGCAATGAAGTCCCGGTGTTTGGCTGCAACAGCCAGCTTGAGGCAGGTCGAGTTGCTCCAGTTTTTTAGCTCATAGGTGAGCAGTTTCATGGCGATCTGCTCGTCGTGCTTATAGGATTGGTCCAACAGCTCCACAGCCAGCTGGCCAAAGTCTCTGGAAGGAAAGAAATGGAGTCGGGGTTGAAGCCGCAGTGGCCACATGCCCTTTGTTAGAGAGATGCGTCCACAGGGACATCTGGAGCCACGGAACATGAAATCCTCAATTTCCCATCCTCTGCAAGCAGGAAGCTGATGGGGTACGTCCCCAGCAGGGGACAGCTGGGGCCAGGGCTCCATGCTCAGTTATGTTGGGGGCTGACTGCTCTTGCTGCAAATGGATCTTTAGGTTAACCCCAAATCTGCCCCTTAGTCCCCATGGACACAATTTCAAGTGTTCACAGAACAGGAATGCAGACAGAAAGGACAGCAAAGGAGTTTAAAACAGCCCCTGTGGGATTGGAAGTCAGAATAGTGGCTACCATTTGTGGAGGGAGCAGGTAGACATTGAGAAGGGACACCAGGAGGGCTCTCTGGTGCAAGTAAGGTCCTGTTTCTTGATCTGGGTGTCAGTCATACCAGTGTGTTCCATTTGTGAACAATCATCAAGCCATACGTTTAGGATATGTGCCTTCCTCTCTATGTGAGTAATATCTCAATAACACATTGATTACAAGAGAATTCAACACTCTCTTTGCTATGGTAGAGACAAAGTCCAGTTGTCATGGGGGCCTAAGAGCTGGGGGCAGGGGAGGGGGAAGTAATGGGAGCCAGGGGTGGGGGATGGAAAAGGTGACACAAGCTGGATTGTGAACATAAAATTTATTCCCTTTTCCACATGACCCTGATTCAAATATTTAATGATAGTTATAAACATTCCCAGTTCCTTCAATGTCTTTTCATGGAATGTGGTTAAGATAGAGTCTCATGGTGATCACCTGTCTCTGTTTTTGTTTCTCCATTTTACAGAATATTTTATTCCAGTTACGAGCTGGTGGAATTATGTAGGGGGGAATGCCTCCTCTGTTCTCTGAGAGTCATGCATTCTGCAGTACCTTCTGATCTCAGATTCTGCTCCAGGGGGACACGTGACCTTGGGAGTCCTCCAGGAAGCAGAGGGATTGTGTTTACCAAGCCACTGAAGCAGGAGAACACCTCCCCATGTATAGACAGCCTTGAATACATGATGCTTAGAAATCAGCGAGTGATTTTAGAAATCGAGTCCAAAATAAAAGCAGTGTGCCTCAGAAAACAAAGATGCTAGGTGTTGGCAGGGTTGCCTATATGTGACTCAAATTCATGTGTCTGTAAAGTTGTACTAGGACTTCTGGTTTCTGGTTCTGCACATAAGGGGTTTGGAAGTTGCCACTCCATCCTAATAACAAGTAAAATGTTGAACAAACTAAAAATCAACAACTCTCCTAGATTCAACAGAGAATTGTGGTCACAGGGCAAACTAATACCCCCCAAACTGGGGAGACAGACATGCGAATACAGAGAATCACAACTTACTGGAGCAGAAACCCACAAGCACAACCCTTTTCCAGAACCAGTGCTGGGGTAGGAAAATCTGAACTGTAATTGACAAATTGCTGGGGGCCTGGTGAGGACAAGTCTGAGAGTTAATAACTCCAGGGAGGCCCAGTCTTAGGGGAGTGCGCACACACTTTTATGAGTTTTACCTCTAGGAGCTCCACCAAGTTCTCTCAGAGAAAATGGGAGAAAAGCCCCCTCATGCTGCTGGCAGGGCGAGGGGAAAGGAACCATTTTGAAATACATCAGAGTGCTCTGTTCTTAACAAGGTCAGCCCTCAGGAGAAACTCATCAACCAGAGCCTAACTTACTGGGGTCTTAATGGAGCCCAACAGTACTGGAGGAAGGGAAAAACCCAACTCCAGACCCCTGTAGCCCTCCTGTCCCACCTAAGGAGGAGAACAACAGAGGTACTTGTGAAGGTCAAGTTCAAGGGCACAAGTTCACTCAAGTTGTACTCCTCTGAGTATGTGTTTTCTTATGGAAATCTGTTTCATTGTCATTGCATTAAAATTTTGTTTTAATAGTTCACACGAGAAGGCAGTAAACAAAAACAGTGACCATCCAGAAACACCTCAGAGAGAAGGAAAAATGTTGGTATAATGGACAAAGTGATTGATGAAGAAACTTTAAACATAATTGTACTTAACCAAGAAATCCATTTGCCACCCCTCACCCTAAAGGGACAAGTGCTCAGGACAATAGTCTCTCCCGGCTCTGAGCGTCCCTTGACACTAACTTTGAATTGTTGTCCAGATCCTGGGAGATGTCGTCCACCAGCTCGCTCTCGGAGGACTCATGGGCCATGGACTTGTAGAGCTTACAGGCCACCAGGGCCTTGGCCATGCTCTCCTCGCCTCGCTGCCACAGGAAGACGGCCATTTTTTGGCGTTTCATCAGAACAGCCCACACCATCAGCTCGTGGAAGGGGTACTGGAAACGGCTCACAGCAGGATCGTCCACATCGATGTCGATCTCTTCCTCCTTTTTCTTCTTTTTCTTTTTCTTCCCTTTTGCTGGAGGCTCATCATCCTGACGGGAGACAAGCATATTTGTCACGGTTCTGCCGTGAATGTGCAGCAAAGTGTTTCAGGACTACTGGAAAAAGGAAAACCTTTCTGTCAGAGGTAATACAGAGTTTCCTTGAGTACATCTGTTTCCACCCAGAATATTAATTCTTTTGAAAAGATGCACATATTTATTATGATAAGTAGACCAACTAAAACAAAGTGAACTGAAAAGGCACACTACTGTTTGAAGACCTTATACCCCTGGGTTAACAATTTTTTTCAGAAGCCTTTAAAAATGGAGGAGATGCTGCAAAACTGAAAAAAAGGACAGACAAATACAAATAGCACCATGGGAGAGAAAAAGCCCACAGTTTATTTGCTGCAGGAAGTCTCCCAATATCAACGCTCATTTGCCAGACACAGCTGAACCAAAGATTAATAAGAAAAATGTAAGAGGGGATAGAGAAAAATGTCTTAGATTCCCAGCCGATGGTTTAAGGAACAAATGTTCCCTTTTGAATGAGCTTTGTCCTTTGATGCATGTGGTACAAGCAAAGGCCAACCTTTCCCATCTCCGACAGCGATTATGAGGCTGAGAGGTTTGAGGGTGAAACGTGGGAGCATCATGGAAACGTGTGGGGCTTAGAGTATTCCAGGTTGAGACTTCAGTGCTCAATGGAATGATAGAAATGGATATTGGTTCTTTTGCAAACAGCTTTCCCACCAATTATCTACTTTTATTTTTACAGCAACTCTGAGAAGTTGTGAATTTCTTCCGTTCCCTCAGATGAGAAAGTTGTGGCCCAAAGTCTGAATAATTTGCCCACGTCCACACAGCTGGAATGACTGGGGCCTGGGGGATCCTGGCTCTCCAATTTCTATCACATGTTGTTCATGACTGACTCAATTTTTGCAACCTCATAATGAGTTGTTATAACATTTTTATTGAAACTATTTTATCTTGCCTCAGATTTAATTTAATTTTTTTTTTTTTTTTGGTGAGGAAGATTGAGCTAACATCTGTTGCCAATTTTCCTCTTCTTGCTTGAGGAAGATTGTCCCTGGGCTAACATCTGTGCCAATCTTCCTCTGTTTTCTATATGAGATGCTGCCACAGCATGGCTTGATGAGCGGTGTGTAGGTCCACACCCAGGATCTGAACCTGCGAACCCTGGGCCACCAAAGCAGAGTATGAGAATTTAACCACTATGCCACTGGGCTGTCTTCTTAACTGTTTTTGTTTTAATTTTGTAATTTGTCATAGTAAAACTATAGTTACAGTAATTTAGGGAAGGTTGTTCTACATAAATTAAAAATTGACATTATAGAAATTTAAAAATAAACATAGCTTTATTTTCAATAATATATCAAATCAGGGGCCAGCCTGGTGGTGCAGCAGTTAAGTTCGCACATTCTGCTCTGGCGGCCTGAGGTTCGCCCGTTCGGATCCTGGGTGCGGACCTATGCACTGCTTGTCAAGCCATGCTGTGGTAGGCGTCCTACATATAAAGTAGAGGAAGATGGGCATGGATGTTAGCTCAGGGCCAGTCTTCCTCAGCAAAAAGAGGAGGATTGGCAGCAGATGTTAGCTCAGGGCTAATCTTCCTCAAAAAAAAAAAAAAAAGAATATATCAAATCAAATCAAAATCCGCTAATGGCTAGGGAAAATTTTTATTGAAATGTTAATTGTATGAAACTTCTCTTAAAATACTTTTAAGATTGCTAGAGAGAGAATAAAACAAACAAGGGGTTAATTTCCCTAAAATGCAAAGAACTGCCACAAATCAATAAGAAAAAGAGAAACAACCCAATAAAGCATCAAAAGATGTGAAATGAAAGTGTAAAGAGAAATTGACCCATCTACAATCATAGTAAGAGTCTCTGAGCACACCTCACTTAGAAACAAACTTGAAAAAATTAGTAAATAGAGAAGCAAATTGAATAACATAAACACCAAGTTTGTTCTGACAGATAAATGTGAGAATTGTACCCAACAGCTGAGAGCATGCATGAGAATACATGAGAATACACAAAAACACATGGATCATTAATCAAAGCCCACCAGGCGTTAAACCCCAATTCCTTTGAGATGTTTTATCTCAACAAAATTCTAGATATTAGAAATTACGTAGTCTAGGAATCATGTAGTCATGGAATAAAACTGTAAGTCAGTAGGATTACAACAACAACAACAATCTATATCTGGAAAATTTAAAATATACTTATAGATAACTCTTGGATTAAAGAGGAAATTATAAACTATTTACAAATGAATGGCAATGAAGGTTCTACTTACCCAACCCTGTGGGATATCATGAAAACAATGCCCAGAGAAAAAGATATACCTTTCATGCATTTATTGGAATACAGGGAAGACTGAAAATGAGCACACTTCACTTTCAAATGAGTCAATAAAAATAATCCAGTAACTCTATAGAAAGTATATGGAAGGAATGAATAAGACAGATAATTAAGCAAAATAAGTCAGATGGAGAAAGACAAATGCTGTATGATTTCATTCATATGTGGAAGTTAAAACAAACAAACAAACAAACACATAGATACAACAGAGAAAAGATTGGTGGTTACCAGAGGAAAAGGGGGCGGGCGGGAGGGCGAAAGGGGTAAAGGGCACATGTGTGCAGTGACAGATGGTAACTAGACTTTTGGTGGTGAACACAACGTAGTCTATACAGAATTCAAAATATAATGATATACACCTGAAATTTATATAATGTTATAAACTGATTTTACCTCAAAAAACAAACAAAAAATCCAGGAGCAAGGAAGGAGAATAAAAGGGTTTTCTACTAAAAATAAATAAATAAAACAGATATTAATAAAATAGAAAACAGAAAAAAGAAAAGTTGCTTGATAAAGCAAAAATACCAAATATGTAGGCAAGTTTGGTTAAGAAAAAAAAGAAAGAAGATACAAATTTTTAAAAAATTGTAAGAAGAAAGGGCACACAACTAAGATATTGTGAAGATTGAAAAAAATAGACTGCTATAGAAAGATTTATAACAATCAACTTGAAAGTCTAGATGAAATAAACTATTTTCTAGGAAAATATAAATGACCAAAGTTGAATAGAGAAAATGGAAAGCTTGAGTGGACTCATAAACGTTATTATAAAGGTAGTGAAAGATACACCTCTAAAAAAGAGCAGTGGGACCTGGTTATTTTGCAGGAGAACCTTCACTCAATAGATAAGCCCTATATGACATAAAGAATTGAGAGAATAGGAAAGTATGGAAAGCTCCACATCATAACCCTTACAGGACCACAACTCCATCAACTCTGATGCGACAATGCTAAAGGTCAGTCTTAATTGTGAACACAGAATCAAACCTTCTACCTGGAATCCATACAGAAATTGGGATGATATTTAACTCATCAATGTATTTAAGAAGAATCTTTACAATAGTCAATCTCAATGTTATGTGTTATGGTATTTCTTCCATTCATTTGTATATTTTTGTGTCTAGTGCTTTGTTCTTAGGGTTCCTTGTTAAGGTAATTTCTAGGTACTTTTGTCCTATGGTAAGGGAACTTCAGTTGATTTTCATGGGTTTTCTAGATACGAAATATTTTTTGTGGATAATCGTTTTCTCCCCTTTTTAGGTATTTTTTTTAATGTTTATTTTTTCATGTGGTACAATTTCCAGAACAGTTTTAAAAGCTAATGGGGATAATTATGATGCCGATGATAATGGGCGTGCTTGTCTTGTTCTTGATTTTAATAGAAATGACTCCAGTGTGCCACTGCTCCGTAACAGGTTTCCTCTTATTACAAGGTATACGTGTATTTTAATCACATCAGAGAGTATGTTGATTTTATAATTTATTTTATTTTATTTCTTTCTAGTAACCTAACTTTTGAAAAAAGTTAAAGAATTACATTTTTTCAATTCCTCTTTAGTATCTATTGAAAAATGATCACATCATACTGTTTTCCTTCTTTGACTTATTGATATGACACGCTATATTACAGACTTACTACATTACATTAGATTTGCATTCTCAGAGACTTTAATTACTTGTTTAGGACTTTAAAAATATTCCATTGAATTTCTTTTGGTGTTATTTATGATTTTTGCGTATGTAAGTGGCATTATTCTCTAGTTTTTTTGTTTAATCTTTGTCTGCTTTTGAAACCATGGTTTTGCTAACTCCATAAAATGAATTGGGTAGCTTTTACCTCTTTTTAAAAAAATGCCTATGATCCTTTTATATAATTTAACTAAATCATCTAAGTAATTTGATGTGTAGTGTAGTGGATTTATTCATGAAAAACAAACTCCTTCAATTTTATGTTAAACAAACATAAAATGAAGAGGGCTACATAGATTTGGCCAAGATGTCACAGGTCTATTGAAAACAAATCCTACTTACTTCCATCCCCAGAAGTTTAAGGGCTTTAGGCTGCGTAATGAAAGGAGAGAAAAAAATCAAATTACTCAGATAACTAATGTTAGTAGCACAGTAGTAGTATTGTTAGCAGGAGACATAACAGTAGATTAAAAAGTACTTCTTATTAACACTTATGGACAATATTCCAGGAAAAGAAATGCTTTAATATGGAAACTCTGCATCTGTCAGCTGAAGTCAGTTGAGGAGAAAGACATGCAGACACATGACCCTCAATCCAGGAGGAACCAAAGAAGGTCCCTAACAGAAATGCAGACACAGAGCTGCAGGGCTTCTAAGTCCAGGGAGAGAGAAGGGCTTCATGGAAGATCTGACATTTGAGTTGGACTTGTGATAAGCATGGAATTTTGATCAGAGGAAGACATGGCTGGCACAGCACTACAATTTGATTTTGGTGTAGGTACGTGGTCTCCCACGACAGGGTGGGGACACTGGTGGAAAGCCTCAGATGCCATGATAATGAGCTGGCGGTGATTCTTCAGGAAGTGGGGCACGCTGGGAGTTTTTAAGCAGGAAGTGCACTGTCATGTCCCTTGCTTTAGAAGATGAGGGTCGTTACGGTGGTAGGTAGGGTGGATTGGAGAGGGCAGAGACAAATGAGGCCAGGAGGAGGGCTTTTGTAGACAAAGGACAGAAGGCAGATGCAATGGATGGGCTGAGTGCCCAGTTTGCTAAGGGGTGAAGGAGAGTGGCTCCGGGTGAAGGCTGGGCTTCTGCAGGGACGGTGAGGCCTCACACCTGAGTCGCTGCAGGAGGAAGGCTAGGTGTGCTTGGGGATGGGATGAAGAGCCTGGCTTTGGATAGCCTGAGTTATTGGAAAGCACAGCAGGAACCACATATGATTCCAGAAAGCACGGAACACCACACGTTCACTTAGTTCTACCCTCTTGGGTCCAAACAAGTTGTTGTAAAGGGTCCGAAAGCTCTTCCGAGTATAGTTGCAGCGGTAGGCGCCTCCCATGAGGTACTCCAGCACGAGCCCTATGTCTATGAGGCTGATGTGGTAGTCGGGAGGAAGGTTGCCCTGTAAGAAGAGAAGCTGTCTCAGACCCGGTGGGAATGCCTTGGCAGTGCGGACTTCATCACACCTCAGGCATAGCGGTCATTCCTGGACACAACTTGGGCGTTAGTGTAAGGGACAGGCATTAAACAGTATTCAGTCTATTACCATGTGATTGCAGGAGATGACGGGTTAAGCTATGCTTCAGAAAATGGGTTAAAATTTCCCAATGAGAAGGGTTAGAAACCCCTGAGGCTGTGGGTACAGGACTGCGCTTGTTCGTGGGCTCATACAGAATGGCCTGTAGTAGGCATGTATCAACATAAAACTGGGGTGAGACTGCCTTTGTAAGAGCGGGTCACAGGTCAGTTTTGATGAGAAGGTGCTGTGATAGCTGCTGGCAGGGGAGAAGCTGCCTCCAGGGGGCTGGAATCCAGATTTCTTGTGGAAGGAGGAAGCGACCGGTGAAACCGGCAGGAGGAATGCACAGGAGGCAGTGGGAGAACAGAATATCTCTGGGGCTGGGACTTTTCCAGTGGAATTTCTGCATGATGCCCTGTGACTTTCTGGGGGACCCCTCAGATTTCAGGAAGAACACAAACACCACAAACTATGTGGTGTGGCTGGGAGGCACCAAAGGGGCAGAGTTTTGCAAGAAAATGGAAGAGGGTATGTTGAGACAAAGTCAGCGTGTAGGCAGAGAGGAAAAGTGCTACTAGAGGCTATCCGTGCATTTGTAAGCCAGTCATTCACGTCCCTGGCAGCTAACTTATCCAGAAGGCAGCACTGACCGGTTGATTATGAGGATTCTTTGCTGTGTGCTATGTATTTCTCGGTTCATTTTACATGGCTGAAATGATGGTGGTAACCTGGGGTCCACGGCGTGGAGATTACAAATTCCAGATGTCTTCCCTTTACAATAGGGCTGGCTACATTTACTAAATCCTTCACCCAGGCATAAAGTGTGTGTTCAGCCCCTATTGTGATCCTTGACCCTGTAGGGGATTCCATGCGCCGAGACAAGGGGACACAGCCCTGCTCTGAGAGAGCTTGCTGTTTCCCGGGAGAGGGGCAAAGCTACAAACAGCCTTGATGCAGCAGCATGTTTGGCCCCCAGCTCTACGTGGATGGGCAGATGGGAGGGTGAGAAAGGGCTTCCTAGAGAACACGACACCCAAGGTAGCTGGGAGCAGGTGGAGAAGGGACTGTGGGCACCAGGAGGAAGTGCACTGCGGACGTGAGTGAGGCGTGGCCCTGGGACAGAGCATGCGCTCTGCTCCTCTGCAATGCGGGTCTGCATGGTTAGTGTGCCCTGTGCTGGAGACATGATGGGAAAGAGGAGGAGACCTGGACAGGGCCAGGGCCATTACAGAGCAAGTGTCTTGGGAGGAGCTTGACCTTCATGAGGCCTTGGAGGATTTTGAGTCAGGGAGTCTTGTGACTGTGGACGGACCGTGGGAGGGAGTGGGACTGGAGGATTCTGGAAGCCATTTAGTGAGAGTGGTTGGGTCTGAACTTGGGTAGCTGTAGCTTTTGAATGTTCGCACTTCCTAATCCAAGAAATCTGGGAAATCAGATTCCTTGTGTAGAAAGAAAGGGCACTGATCCCTTTTGGTTCCCAGATCCACTGATTCTGTTCTGATCCACTGGATGTCCCCGGAAGCCAAATTCTCATATTATTAGAATGATCTATGTGTGTGAAATATGACCAGACTATCTAGGACTCTGACTAAAAACCCTGTTCTCTCATTTGAGTTATTTTCTCTCGCTCAGAATGTGAATGCACGCTCCACACTTTGCATGCCAGGAACTGCATTCTGGGGAAATGAATCACTCTGACTTAATCCTCTAGCCTGTGGCGACCCAACTCAAGAAATGCCAGGACAGAACAGCAAGCTAATGAGACCCTGCAAGAGCACAGGCTGTGAGAAGTCAGTGCAGTAGAAAGTGGGGAAACATCTGTCCCCCACTAATGAGGGAAGAGCGAGGGCCAAGAACAACTGCTTCTATCCACAGAACACAGAGAATGACACGAGGCATGTCCTGCTGCTACTTCTGGAAGGAGGCACAGTGAAGGAGCGAGGCAGGTCTTAAAGTAGACATGGAACAGAAGGCTGCACTGACAGATGGCAGCTCCGGTCAGCTAAGGCGAGCCGTCCCTGGCGGCTGCCCCGCCTCGGTAATGGGGCCAACCCATAATCAACAGTCGGTCAGCACCAGTCTATCATGTGTGGGGATGCACACTACACATAAAGAAGTTTTTCTCTTTAGTTTTAAGTAAACTCTTTTTATGGAGAGAGGAATTCATTATTTCCTGTGCCTCCAATAATAAGACAACACATTCTGGAAATTTAAAAATAGCTTTAGAAAATGTCTTACCAATAGGTCAGGATTATAAAACAGCAGACTGACCTTTTTCACGTCTCTCACCAGCAAATGAAGTGTGTTTGGTGGACCCAGCCTCTGAAAGGGAAGCATTCAGCCATATTAAATATGTTTTTCTCTTCAAGTTTTGGAGCAAAATCTTATCCTACTGTGTAAAATTAATGAGTTACGAAAACTGGAAGGTAACCCCCTCTCAACCTGTTTCTTTTACAGGATAGGACTGGTCATGGTTAAAAAGTTTCCAACTCATGAAAAAATATGTTAAATACTTTCTATTGAATTAATTTAAAGAGCTTCTTATGATATACAGTATTATGCTTAAAATTAACCAACAAGTTTTAGCAAGCAACTGCTGAAGACCATTTCTGCTACTTACAATTTTAGAATGGGGAAGAAAATAAAATTCTTATTGTATGAATAAAAAGCCAAGAGGATTTCCAAACACTTCCATTCTAATACAGTGGAGCTGTTTGCTGTGAAAACTTACTTCTACGTTTTTCACCAAAGCCAAATAAAAAAGTGAGGGTCCCGAGGAACAAACGTCTGCTCTCCCCGGTAACTTTTCACTCTGCTGATGATTTGGGAAGCTAGATTCTCTCTTGGCATAAACTAGTCCTCATATATCACACCCAAGTTAATACTACTCCAGAAGGGAGCATCCGGCTAGGCCTGGCGGTAGTTATAAGAACTTGAACATAAACTGTGGCCAGCGGCAGGTGAGAATAGCTGCCTGCCGTAAATGATGGCCCTCCCAGCTGAAATCGTGTTCCAATGATTCTATGCTCATCTGAGCACATGTATGCATAATACCCACCAGTGATAAATATATTCAGATGGCTAGCCCCCCTCTGCCTTCCCTCCTCTAGAACGCTCACTGTGTTATAAAGCTCTTCCAGCCTTGGAATGGTAAGAAAGTGTTGCATGTTCACTCCATTTTCAATCAGGAGCTTCACAAAGTCGACTCGATCTAAGACCAAAGCGTCCAGCATGGCTTGCTCCAGAGCATTCACCTGCACCAACCAAGGAGAGGGAGCCCGTGAGTGGCCCCTCAAAGGGACACTAGGCAGGAGCAGACTGGAAACATTTCAGACAGCGTATCTCCCAGATCCCAGAGTATTCTGAACGTGGTTCTCTTTGCTCTTTGTCTTGAGTAAACATGTCCCGTCTCCCCTCTCCTTTCTTCTAAGTTTGGCCCCTACATGTCCTATCAAAGTATCGAGTTCGTAAATGACTTTCTCCTTTTTCAAACAAATTGAAGAGGATTCAAAGTTACCACCAAACTGGCATTGCTCCCTCCAGTTTCCAGTTTTGTTTTTTCGTTTTAATTAAAATAGTTTATTAGTTTTTCTTTTAATATAAACACGAGAAAGAAAAACTACATACATTGTAGCATTCTTTTCAAAATAAAACTGCAATCAGTACTTGAATCACCAAGCTCTGATCTCTGTAAACAACATTTATTGAGTTGGTAGATTGTAGTATTTTATATAATATTATTTTTCATCTATGTCCCTGTCCTTTAAAAATGATGGAAGCTGCCACACTCAATATAGTGTGAAGCCTTGCTGAAGAGAGCAACTTGAGAGAGTTTGTTTCCTTGACTGAGAATTGCCTTCATGGTAGGCTGGGACCCCGTGGGCATGCAGCATGCCACCAGGGTGAGTGACTGTGACGATGCCAGTCACATGTCACTGCATAGGCCCAGTGTCCTGTCTTGCCTGTGTCCTGACAGCACCGAGGCCAGTAACCCCCGTGCAATGTGTGAGTCCAGCCTCCCAGCCTGGACAATTGCTGTTACATCTATACACCCAACCACCACATCTTTAAAAAGGTTTTGTTCCCTGAACTACATTTATTTGGTTGTAGTTGGTTTGTTTCCCATCGTTTGACACATCAAGCATCCACATGGCTGCCAGGCAGAGAAAGCCGCTGCTGAGCAAGATGACCCGGGTCTCCTGTCTGAGTGGCTTCATTTCCCCAAACGCAGGAACGTTTGGCGTTTGTGGCAAGCTGACAGGCGCATCAGAGCAAACATGCAGTTGCTGTTTGAAATGTTGACACCGTCCCCCCTGATGCTTTACCACTGCCTCGGGGGCCTCTGGGCCTCCCTCCTGTGGGGCTGAAGCAAGGGCAACCAGAGCTGCCCCTTCCCCTTGAGGAAGAGGGTTACGGATCCGTGATCTCCATGATCCCAAGCAATGGGACGAGGGCTTTCCACATACCCAGTTCAGCAGCTCGATCTTCCGGGGATCAGTTTCTTCCTCCACCTCCTCTTTCACTTTCCCTTTCTTCTTCCCTTTTCCTTTTCCTCTTCCTGCCTTGGTGGTCGCTGTGGGCGGCTTCTTCTCCTTCTCTGTGGCCTTGCTATCCGTCGGGGGGGCCAGGCTTCCCAGGGGCTGCAGTCCACAGCAAGCAGAATCAGGAAAAGGTGTTAAAGCTGTGCCTTCCCCCAAGACAAGCGTACTAACCCCCCATTTCTGCATGCACACAGGCACCCCCCCATACACGTGAGCACATATGTGCACACACACTCATGTGAATGTGAGCGCGCGCAAACACACACACGCACATACGCTCAGTCACCTCAGGCCTGGCTGTCTGCTGGAGAAGGCCCCGATATTGTGAACACTGTTACTTATGTGCTTGATGAAATGCATTTATGTTCTTAAAGTGGCTGGCATTTTGATTGATGCAAGTTTTTGCCCAGAAGAAAGGGTGCTGAGAGCTAAGTTCAATGGCGCCAACAAGAAGTGCCTATGGTTGCTAACGGAAACAGGAGAGAACGATTGTGAAGGGGTCAGAGACAACAAGTGTACCTGCATATGCCTGTTTGGACAGAAGTGTGAGGTGGGCTTATCGGTGGGTAAAGAAGATGCCCTGGGTGTCCCTGACATGTACACGTGTGGGAGCAGGCTGGATGCACCAAGGGAAGAGTGTGCTTTGCTCAGAACGGGACCGAGTGCAGAACTGGGCCCTGGCCCCTGAGCCTTGTCTCCTGGTTGACTGGAGAACATGGGAGGAGATGGTCCTGGTGCAGACACGGAGACACCGACGTTGAAACAACCTTAACCCCTATCTTGCCAGGCTTGCCCTCTCCTCTGGCCAAACTCTTCTGGTGAGTTGCGTGCACGCAGAGTCTCCATTCCCTCCCTTCCCCACTCTCCTCCACGAGCTCTGCTGCTTCTTCCCTTCTGTCCATGGCTCTGGCTGTGGTCACTGATCGCTGTGCTGGTGCCACCTCATGTACATTTCTTAGTCTTCCTCAGGCTCAATTCTCAACGCGTCTGACTCCTGCCTGCTTCCTCCTCAAGCCTCTTCTCACAGCTTCTCAGATGCCAAACACCCTGGTTTTCCTGTCTGGCCACTGCTTCTCAGCACAGGCTTTAAATGTCATGACTCCTAAGGCTCCATTCTCAGCCGCCTTCCCTTCTACTCTACTCTCCCTCAGCAACCTCGGCGAGGCCCGCACCGCCAGCCCCACTGGTTTGCACATGACCTCTCCTTTCTAGCTCCAGCCCATCTCTCTCCCCAGCGTTCCTCTGCCTACTCAGCACCTCCACTCGGATGTCTCAAAGGCTCTTTCAGCTCATAATGTCCAAAACCACACTCAGAACCTTCCCTCCAACTGATTCCTCTTCCAGTGTCCCTTATCTCAGTGAAGTGGTGAGCCAGAGAACTGGAGCTGATGGCTGACATCTCGCTCGCCCCACTGCCCTCCTTCATGATTAATCCATCCCTAAGTGCAGTTATGTTTCGTGCTAAATATCGCTTAGTGCTTTCCAATTCTTGCCTTCTCCTTTGCCTGCACTCTAGTCCAAGGTGCTGTCTCTCACCTGAATTAGTTCAATAGTCTATTATCAGGACTTTTCTCATCTGCCATTGCACCCAGTCAGTTCATTTTTCCCGGTAAGTCCAGAACAATCTTTAAATATATACATGGAATGATGTAACTCTCCTGCCTAAAATCCTTAAGTAGGGCAGGGCAGAGATTGCATTGAGGGCAGTGTACATATTTGTGTGGTTCCTGGTCCACCTAGAGATGTGGATGAAAATGTGTCCTGGCTGACTTCTCATGCAGATAAGAGCATTATGGTCCTGAGTGAAAAAGTGACATGGCTTTCATCAAATGACACTGGGAAAGCTGGATATCCACATGCAAAAGAAGGAAGTTGGACCCTTATCCAATGTCATATACAAAAATTAACTTGAAATGGATCAAAGAACTAAATGTATAAAACTTTTGGAAGGGAAGAAAAAGGCAAATCTTTATGACATTTAATATATAAGGCAAAAGCTTTATGATATTGGATTTATCAATGATTTCTTGAGTATAACACCAAAAGCACAGGCAACACAAGAAAAACAAAGATGATTCAGACTTCATTAAAATTAAAAACTTTTGTACATCAAAAGACACCATCAGGGGCAAGCCTTGTGGCCTAGTGGTTGGGTGGGCTCCATTGCAGCCTGAGTTTGTGGGTTCAGAACTTGGGCACGGACCTACAGCACTCATCAGCCATGCTGTGGCAGTGACCCACATATAAAGCAGAGGAAGATTAGCACAGATGTTAGCTCAGGGCTAATCTTTCTCAAGCAAAAAAAGAGTAAGATTGATAATGGATGTTAGCTCAGGGTGGATCTTCCTCAGGAGAGGAAGGAAGCAGGGCAGGAAGGAAGGAAGGCAGGCACTATCAACAGAGTAAAGGCAACCCACAGAATGGGGAAAATATTTGCAAATCATATGTCTGATAAGAGATTAATATCCAGAATATATAGAGAACTCCTAAAACTCAACAACAGAAAAACAACCAACCTAGTTCAAAAATGGGCAAAGAACTTGAATAGAAATTTCTCAAAATAATATATACAAATGGCCAACAAGTACATGAAAAGATGCTCAACATCACAAATAATTAGAGAAATGCAAATCAAAATCACAACGAGATACTATCTCACACCCATTAAGATGACTATTATAGAAAATCACAAGTGTTGGAGAAGATGTGGAGAAATTGGAAAACTTGTACACTGTTGTAGGGAATGTAAAATTGTGCAGCTGCTGTGGAGAAGTTTGGCAGTTCCTCAAAAAAATTAAACATAGAATTACTATATGATCCAGAAGTTCTGCTTCGGGGTATACACCCAAAAGAATTGAAAGAGGGTCTCGAAAGATGTTTGTACACCCATGTTCGTAGCAGCATTATTCGCAATAGCTGAAACATAGAAGGAACCCATGTTGATCCATGGATGAATGGATAAGCAAAATGTGGTATTTACATAAGATGGAATATTATTCAGCCTTAAAAGGAAGGAAATTCTGACACATGCTACAACCTTGAGGACATTATGCTAAATGAAATAAGCCAGTCACAAAAGGACAAATACTGTATGATTCCACTTTTATGAAGTACCTACAGTAGCCAAATTCATAGCCACAGAAGTAGAAGGTAGTTTCTAGGGGCTAGAGGGAGAAGGGAATGGGGAGTTAAAATTTAATGGGTGCAGGGGCTGGCCCCGTGGCCAAGTGGTTAAGTTCGCGCACTCCGCTGCAGACGGCCCAGTGTTTCGTTGGTTCGAATCCTGGGCGTGGACATGGCACTGCTCATCAGACCACGCTGAGGCAGCATCCCACATGCCACAACTAGAAGGACCCACAACGAAGAATACACAACTATGTACCAGGGGGCTTTGGGGAGAAAAAAAGGAAAAAAATAAAATCTTAAAAAAAAAAAATTTAATGGGTGCACAGTTTCAGTTCTGCGCGATGAAAAATGTTCTGTCGATGGATGGTGGTGATGGTTGCACAACAATATGAATATACTTACTATTACTGAATGTACTCTTAAAAAAGTGGTTAAGATGGTAAATTTTATGTTAAATGTCCTTTACCACAATAAGAAAGTTGTGAAAACAAACAAACGAAAAACCAAAAAGTGATACAGCAATTTAAGGAAACAAAGTAGAAAGACTAGAAGGAAAAGCAAAAGTTGCCAGCCATCATGTTGTGAAGACCTTCAAGCAGCCCCATGGAGAGTCCACGCTGGGGAGGAGCTGAGGCCCTCAGCCAACAGCCAGCTTCAATTTTCCCACTACTGGGTGAGCCAGCCTGAAGTGGATCCTCCAGCCCCGGTCAAGCCTTCAAATGACTGCAGCCCTAGCCTACAGCTTGACTATGATCTTCTGAGAGCCCTGGAGTCTGAACTACCCAGCTATGCCATTCCCAAATTCCTGATCCACAGACACTGTGTGAGAAAATAAATGTCTATTGTTGCTTAAAAAAAGGAAAATCCTTAAGTGGATCCTCAAGCTCTTAGGACCCAGCCTTCTGTCCTCGGTCTTCAGGGCTCTGCAAGGCACAGCTCCTGGCTGGATTGCAGCCTCCTCCTCAGTCACCCTCTTCTCACTCTGCATTCCAGCCACACTAGCGTCTTTTCCCTCTTCAATCAATTACTTGAGAATATCCAGTTCTTTCTTGCCTCAGGCCCCTCGCACATGCTTATCTTTGCCCAGAAGGTGCTTGCCCTCACTCTTCACCACCAGCATTTATTCACCTGTCAGGTCTCAGTGTTAGTTCCACTTTTTCAGAAGGGTTTTCCCTGGTGCCTCAGTAAAAATTTGTTCCCCCATCCACCACATTCACTCTCATGGAAATATGCGTGTTTCCTTCTTAACACTTACTACAATTTATAATTCCGTATTCATTTGTCTGATTACTTGTTTCTTGTCTACCTCTCTCTTCCTGCCCACCCTCCCAACCCACGTCCACCCCAATACCACACAGAGAGTTCTGTAAGGGCTGTGGCAGGTTTGTTTTATTCGCCTCTATGTCCCCAGAACCTAGAACAGGGCCTGGCATGCAGGAAGTGGTTGACCAATATTTGTTAAGTGAACATAAGTAAAAATATGTTTCTTTTTTAAAGTTTGGTTTGATTAATGAAGGTCAAAGGAGAGATTAGTTCTATTGTTTGCTGCTGCTGAGCAAACAAGAAGCCATAGAATCCTGCATCCTGTCTTTGACTTCTGTCTTTGCCATCAGGGAGAATTGAAGGGTAGAAGAGATGGAGTCAGGCATCGTAAGAGAGTTCCTAGATGCTCAAACAGGTTCACCAACTCTGCCCTCACGGGTCACACCCTAGGGTTCTAAGAGCAGTGTTAGTGATCTTAGATGAGTAGCTTTGAGGCCAGCAGAACCCTTGGTTCTGAGGAGGGGCTTCTGGGGCTGCCTGGAGGGAGGCAACCAATAGGGTGGGCTCAGCTCTCATCTCCTTTATATATTGGGGCTCTGCTCAAGATGCCATTTTTAGAAAGGGGCTCTTCTAACTAAAACACCTTGAAAACAACTATTCTGGAAGAATCACAGATAATTAGAGAGATGTGACAGACTGGAGAGAGGGTT